ACTTGAAGTAGATCAAGGGTCTACAGACACAGGCTGAAACCTGGTGCAAAATACCTGGGCCGAAGTCTATCAGCCACTGCCTGATGACCACCTAATACTCATTTAACTGTCAATCGATAGTAATTATTTACCAGGTACTGGCTCAGTAGGTAATAGCTGAAAGCCCAGACACTCCAGTTTCGCCGACATTCTGCCGCTGCATGGCGCTATGGTAAATAATTGTTGTCAGTTGGCGGCTTGTGAACAATATGCGACTAGGCCACAGTGGCCTGCACAACCAGATCTCAAAAAGAGAGAGACACTGCGCCTGCCTAAGAGAATGAACCATGCTAATGTCCATCTTCCTCATAGCGTAGAAAAATATGTGTTCTACCTGAGAGAATGGGCAAATGTAGTTTAAGTTGTGCAACGCATATACCCCTGGTCCCAGCGCACTGTACCACAGAAACGGTGGTTATAGGAGTTTCGGGTGTGGGGAAATAGGAAAGCCAGTGAAAGAAATTTGAAGAAATAAATTTATGGTGGAAAAATGTAGGTGAATTTTTTTTCCGCGGCCGCTGGGAGTAAATGCTCCCACCTGTAAATTGAAGGTGTGCGCGGCGTTTGGCGCCGCACTCTATACTAAACTAACTCCAGAACGGTAAGTTGGAGTAGACGACCTCCTAACCACCATTTATATTTTTTCAGGAATTTCAAGAAACCCGTATTTTGATAATGGGTCCTTCCGCAATACGTTAGACGATAGTACAAATTAGGAAAATCTACAGATGTTGATCAACAACATTTCTAAATACAATAAAATGAAAATGCATATGGCAGTTATTGAAGTATATTCCACTACCTATCCTAATTCCCCACCTATTATAGCCCTATAGCCACCGGTTCCGTAGGACAAAATGCTGGGACTAGGGGTATATGAGGTGCAGTACTTAAACTACTGGTGCCAATGTGGGTTTTACCTGAGGGAATGAATACAGCATGTGGGTTGGAAACGCAGAATGCAATTGTAAAGGCATGTTGGGATTCAAAAGTTTTGTTAAAACCAAAAGGTACACTCAGTTCAAGTATAAATTTTGAAGAAAATGTTATTTTCTACCAGGTGAGTGAGTACTAGGAAGAATACTGTAACGCATGTTTTCCATAAAACCGATTTGCATTTATGTGGGCATAGCAAGTCAGTGAGAAAAATGTATGCTACTTAATTTGTCCTTTTTACAGAAGGTAGGTTTTGCAGACAGTCTGGAAGAAATTAGTTCTAAAGAGGACATCCTAACGTGTCTAGAATACCCTGCAATTATGCCTTACGATACTACTACAAACTTATTTAACTAATACTTTCGATACAAATCCAATTTAGCCATTTAGGTTCAGTTCATGGGATAGCAAATCTACCGGACATGCATTGGTTGTGGTTTTAAGTACAACATACGGATAAATAGGGTAGCCGGGTTATGCAAATCGTTTTTACGGTAGTGGGGGAAGGGGGTGATTCCGAGTCAACTCTTATCCAAAAAAATAAGCGAACGTCTCCAATCCTGGCCGAGAAAGGGCAATGTCAGGCACGACAGCAGCGCTATCCTGGTAGCTCGTGTACCTCAATCAAGTCTTCTGAATGATTTATAAGTTAGCATCGAACTACCCAAGACTCCATAAGGAAGCGTCTAACGGCAGCAACGGGAACGACCGCAATCATCCTGAACAAACAGAGTCGGTGTGCCGAAAAGAACTTAATTCAGGCGCTACGCATTTACCATGACCGAACGCAAATTAAGTGCATGGACTTTTCTGCGCCTTCTCCTACCCCCCCCACACACCCGGCACTGCTCGCTCCAACTCTCTCTCGTCTCACCTGCACTCTTTAGTCCTACCTGATCATATAACACCGATTGCGCTCTTGGCTGATTCTCAATAATTCGGCTGGCCCAATTTCGCTTAGCGTCACGGCTTCCGGTGGAGCCTCGTAGCTCAACTGGTTAGAGCGTTGGGTTTATTCGAACCTTGTCCTTGTTGGTGTAGGTCTAAAACACACAACGTCTGTTGAGCTTTGTCCAATGGAGTCAGAAGAATAGCTAAATGTGTAGATGGCCGTCGGTTAACGAATTTAATCGGTTCCAGCACCGAACTCGTTGCGTGAAACGTTTGTCTTGCGAAAAGTATCAATTTACTGATTGGCTGCAGGCAACCGAGGACCCAAACCCTGGGAGCAAGACACAATGGCGGACACAGCCACGCACCCGCACTGACAACTCTTTAACTGAGCGGACGGTCGTCAACCGAAGCCAATTTTCTGCCAGTGGCTCGATCGTTACCTGAAATGCTCATAGATGGAGTTGCTCGTCAACCCGAGGCTCTACTGTAATGCGTGTATTTGGCAGATATGAATAGTTCATTTGACCCGATCGCGAGGGCCGCAGTGAGTTTCGTGCCCGCGACGGCAAGTATACGGTTTTTGCACAGCCAACACTCTAAAAACCTGAGCTCGATTAGAATTTACCGACACTGGTGAATGCATGGTTACCAAATTATCGCGCAAAGAAAGGAACTTACAGGCAGGTTTTGCAAAAACGTGGAAAAGTGTGAAGATCCAAAACGTGGCAGGAATACCTAAACAACTATTGCACAAGCGATGTCGATGAGGCAAACAACGCAAAGGGTCGTCTGCTACTTTAAAATTTTGCATAACTAGACACAGTGAGGCACTACGGCAAGAATGCGAAAGATGTAGAAACTGACGTCAGTACGGAACGGGAGAGGTCACTGACCTGTCCAAGTGAGCCTGTCCGACAGGCAACAGGACTGTTAGGTCTAGTTCTCTCACGTGCCCTCAAAAAGGTATGTGACATTCGATTTACATCTAAACAGGCTGGGGAACTGACAGAGACGCAATAATGCTGAGGGAAAAAGACCAGGCGAGTGGAGTGCTGGTGGTTTAAGTGAAAGGTATTAACAGCAGCAGCAGCAGCAACGGCACACGACATGTTCCTAAGGCGTCACATCCAGCACAACGGTGTATAAACAGAAAGGTATTCTAAAAGACTAAGGGCAAAAACGTTTATCCGAGGCAGAATCACGGAATAATGATGTGGGAAGGATTCTCAATCAGCCTCACTTCGCTAAAAAAAACAGAGCTCGGCAAAATGAGTTGGGGATGTAGAGTTGGCAGCGAAATTTACCAACAGAAATCGCAAGAACGAAAAAACAATTACTCATGCGGCAAGTACTTCTCCCTATGCACTATCAGTAACCCCGCTGCATTTCCTGGATAAAAAAGTTGTAAAGGTCCCGATTGGGATATTTCTCAGGGTTTTACGCCTCTGGCAAAACTTGCAGTTGAAGATGGGGTAGTACCTCGGTTTTTGAATAGTCCGCTCCTCAACTAGGAGGGTATAAAAGGCTGCTTTCGCAGATACCATTAGTGCGTTCACATGGTTTAACCCTTCAGTTAGGCAGACTCAACCACTAGGCACCCATCTAAGGGAATGGTGAACATCAACCCGTTAGGTCCAGAAAAGAGACGACCAGATCAAAAACATTAGTTCGGCAGCGAGGTATAGCATACGAAAAGTTTGCCTTTTCAGTCGGTAAAGTTGCAACACAACGGGTATGACTGCAATATGCCTCAGCCCCTGCACCCGAGTTCCGTTAATTGTTGCTTAACTGTCTCCTCAGGGCGAGTACTCAGAAGCATGCTGGAACTGGAGGGCTACTCTCGTAAACACTTAGAAGGTAATATACACTAACTGGTAGAAACCTAGGTGAGTCTGCCTTCATTTACCCTTCTGCTGAATACTTGCTGTTCTTGTACCCTAAGTAGCATTTTGTTTCCTCATAGGTCTTTGTTGGGAATATATCCATTCCCATGATTAGTCATTTCAAACAAAGGCACTTGAGTGAGTCGCCACGCTGCCTGCGACGACAGCATTCACTTGCTACAGATAATTCCGTCAGATCTGATGGGTCTTTGTCTGTGATAAGTTGTCCAGATCTTTCTCATCGAGTGGATCAATAAATACGCGCCACAATTTTGTGAGAATGACTTGCTTTTTTGGAATACAGTTATCCATCTGGTCGATTGCCTTTTCGTCCCCTTCTATTCTGATCGTGTTAATAACAAGTACCGGGGGTGGGGGTCATAAGTCTTGTTTAACTTAATTGCGGGACTTAAATGTAAATTCGCCGGAGGAGGACTATTGCGGTGTAGCTCCAAATGTTGTTACGTTACACATCGTACGATATGCGTTCACAAATCGGGTTACAAGACACGCTCGCTCTATAGCGCCTTGAGGCGCAACGCAAAGTCGTAGAGGGCAGTCGCACACCAGCTGGTAGTAATACAGGTAAGACAACCAGAAGAAAAAAACAATTCTCATATCCGGCTTACAGGCCGTCATCAGCCAGCCAAACGCAACCATCCGGGTTGACCGGACCTGAGATTCAAAGCTGGATCCCTGGGTTATTTGGCGCTGTTAAGTCCAAAGCTCTATCACAAGCCCGTTGTCTTATCGGTTGCGACCGAGTATTGAGCGCATTCACCGAGCGGGCTACGGAACATTTTAAAATTAATCAAATATTATAAAGGAATGGTTAGCACCAAAATCCGTTCCAACCATCAATAAGGAGTACATTAATAGCCATCAATGCTACGACAGTTTGCGAAAAAAAGCTATCACAAATGAGATAGAAACTGCTTAGAGGGGGAGAAAGAGGTGGCATTTGTTTAAATCGGGACAATTGACGAGCGGGTCGCACGATTTCAACGACAGCAGAATTAAAGGCATCGAGCAGCCCGGAAGGCGACAAAAAGCAATGCGCTCAAGCAAATACATCCAAATAACGACATTCAAAACTGTGGACATTTCTCAGGATACCACCAATGAATCGCCATCGCCATCACCATTATCGTCATCATGAATGAGGTAAGATTATAGATCACTACGGAGCTGCCGGCTGAGACAAGATGCGTCAAACGCAGGGCGCATCGGTAAGCGGCATCAATTGTATCAGATGATGAAAAGAGCAAATTCTAGACGGATGGATGTGGGGGCATCGCTACGGTGGAGTAACAACAGATGGGAGTACAGGGGCCGCTTACCAGTGGGTTCAACCAGTCTCGTGAAGGCGACACCAGTTACGACCTGGACGCCAAATAGGAGAGCGACCTTCAGAAGGATACACTGAAGCGTGCGGATGCCTGTGGCAAATAAAGATTGAAAGAGATGTCACAAATAAAGGGAACAAGACAGTTGACTGATCATTTAAAATAATGTTTTGTGGTAAAAATGGGTTCGGGAGTAAAT